TGAGCTTGCTGAGCAACATGAACGAAAAAGTCATATTTGCTTGTCTTTTGTTCACCGCATTGCGCACATCGAAACGGATTTTCAGGTGAATAATGAAGCTGTTTATGTGTACAGTACATGGCAAAGTCTTTGAAAATCATTTCACAATGTACACATTCGAACAAACGTTTGATTTGCCATTCATCGACTTGAGTTTGTTGATCGATTGAATTCAAATTTCGTTCACTATGATCACTATCAGTCGAGTGATCTTTTCGTTGTCGTTTAGCCGAAGGAAAAATATTCTCGTTCGTATCAGTTTTTATACATGACGATAATAGAGAATAATTACCGTTGAGTAAAGCTGCCGGTGGTAAAGCATGATTGTTATTACTATCAAGTTGATAACTATGCATATTTGATGATGTTGATGTCAAATGTGATTGGAGTTGTTGAGTTAGAAATTGTTGGTATGGACCGAGAAAATCATTTAACTACAAGACAAATTCATTATGGGATGCGAATAGTTTGAGACATTTGACTTACTTGAGGAGAAACTCCATTCGTATTAGTGGCAAACGGTCCGATTTTACCATTGAATAGCTCTAGTAATTTCGTCGTTGGGTCGAGTGACATGTTCGTTAACATCGATCGGTTGAGTAGATCACTTTTTTTACAAGCATGTTGAAACAGATGTACACCGAGTCCTTCTTTGGATACTGCGACAAAATCACATAAACTACAAGCAAGTGACATCGATGCTGCATCTATCTGATGCTCATCGCTTGACAAAGCACCTGCTGAAGAATCGTTCGATGACACCGATGACGTGCGTTTCACGTGTGCCGGTAGAGACGTATTCGACATTGATTTGCGCTTTTTCGATCTCGATGGACGTGCATTCGCTTTTTGTGTCGAATTCGGCACAAGTGTTGGTGGTGTTGATGATAATACATTACTATTATTTGACGTTAGATTCAATGAACTGAGATTGCCACTGGAATATTCCTTAAGAAATTCTTCGATATTTTCATCGACATATGCTTCGTGTCCTTCGGTTTGTAGGTGTTCTTGTAAAGCTTGATATTGTTTCGATTCGAATGAACAATTCGAACATTTGAACAGCAAATGACGAAAATGGGATTTCTTGTGTGAACGTAACATGGATAGATTCACGCACGCATAATCACATCTGCAAGAGAAACAACACATCTATCGATAAAGAACTACGACAATGAATAGTTTATACTTTGAACATTTGAATGGTTTTGAACCGAGATGATTACGTAGATGATATTCGAGATGATGTTTGTATTCTGTTACAAATGGACAGCTTGGACATTCGAGAATTTTATCGGCTCGAATGTGAACGCGATGATGTGCCCAATAGTCCTCCTACGAAATCAGCAAATAGAACACTTTTGTCGATCAAAATCTTTTCTGTACTTTAACACTAGACACAAATGAACATTGACGACATCGATGAACTTTAGTTTTGCTTGCTGGAGTCGATTTTTCATTGGTAGTTCCATTCGATGGCTCCGAGGATTTCGTCGCAGTTGTGTTTGATGTTAGAACAGGAACCGATTGCTGTTCAGTTGATTGATGATTAGATGTATGAGTTTGATTGTGTTCATCAAGAATCGAAAGTGAATCAGTATAGAATCTACGAAGAGTCAAACTTTAAGCGGGATCGACTGAGATGAGTGGAAGATTTACCCGCATGAATAGCATTTATATGGATAATGTTCAGAAACATGTTCAAGTAGATTGTCTTGATTGGCTTTGCAACCACATCGAATGCATTCAACAGAACCGTTCGTTTCCACGCGGTAGAGTTTTAAAATTTCTTCAATGGTTGACAATTGTTTTGGCCATTCATTAGTCTACACATTCAAATTGTATGTCCATTTCTCTTTTCGCATATAAAAACGTGTTTTTACAACATACCAATGAGTCTTCATCGACATTACTATTCGTTGTATTGTTACTTATGGGTGAATATTTGGTTTCCTATACGATATTGTGAAACGGATGTTATATACATAATGCTACATGAAAAACTTACTGATTGATCATCAGTATCACTGATAGGTTCAATATGGTCGTTATTGGATTGAATAGTCTACGATATGAGAATAGTTTCCTATACAATTGATCGAATGATAACTTACTGAATTCGGACGTTCAACACGTGCAGACAAAGACCAAGGTCGAAGTGGTTTACGACGCTATTCAAAGAGAAATATATGATTAGAAGTAAGCAACCAGTTATCATTTGTTTCTTTCAAACATACTCGACCAACACTTTTGACAGGTTCATTCTCATTGATTGATAAAGTCATACTTGAAGGTCTGATTACCTATATAAATGCATTCGAAGTTTAGTAATATTTCTCAGGAATATGATAACTTACACCAATACATGAACTATTCGTCTCGTGTGCCATATCACTTTCTATTTTCATTGCCGCCGTTGAATTTTCAGACATTGCTAGTTTCTTTTTCAATAATAGTGATGACTAAATAGATGATCGACATAACAGATTATCAATACGAATCTGTCTTACATATGAAGCATCGTGCGCAGCAGTAACGTCGGACATAGGCGATGTAGATCTTAGTTTCATGTTAAAGTTTTCCGTTAATGTCGGAGGCGTTGAAGATGTATCCTGCATGCTAAAATTCTAGAATGAAAAGGAGAAATGAATGTTAGCAGTGATTAGTTCGGATAGAGATGTCGAAAATGATCTGATCACAAATCGGATGGTAGTGTGCGTGTATATGTATTTTTGTTCGTCGATTTGTCTTTAGTGTCGTTTGTTTTTGTGATCGCTCTTTCTTTCTCTCTCGTGCCTCCATTCTCTTTTTTCCTCTCTTGGTTCGTGTACAAGCAAGATTTCTTGTTCTCTCTTTTCTCTTTTTGTATAATAATGGCAGGTTCAGAAATGGCTTTTTCGAGGTGGACGACGGCGCGCAAAGCAGAAAAGAAGAATATCTTTTCCTTTTCTTTTCCTTCTTCACAAACGAGAATGTGCGTTCGCATAGGCCCTCGTTTTTTTTCTCCTTTTTTTTTCTTCTTTTTTTATGCATATGTCTACAGACATATACATACATATGTCTAATTGTATTTCTCGCCCAGTCGACTTGACCATCGGTCGACGATGAACGATGACGAAGCCATTTTTCTCTTTCTTCTTTTTCTACTGTACCATTCACGTTTTTTTTTCCTATGCTCGCATCGTCACCGCAAACTACGAGTCTAATGTATACACAAAATAAATATCGCAGAATGTGTGTATACCGCAAGAGAACGACCCCCCGAATTTATGATGATTTTTTTTTTCTTCTTCCCATGTTCAATACAATAGCGAGATTCCCTTTCTTTCTCTTCGACGATTTGTACAGAACAGAATAAATGAACATGCATGCACACTCGTACACAAAAAAACAAGCGAGAAAGAGAAAAATAATAATGAGAAAAAATATGTACGATGATAGCGGTGACCGTGTCTGTTACTCGTTAATAGTCTGAATGAACCTTGATTTTTCTTTTCATACAGAACAATTGGAAGAGAAAAAGAGAGTAAAGAAGAATACTACACAGAGAAACTCATTAAATAATGTTCCGTTTTGCAAAATAGAATATGATACACTCGTTTTCTCTTTGCACGAAAAAGGCGATTGGCATTTGTTCAAGAAGTCTTAGAAGAACGCACACTGAAAGGCATCTATCAAAGTTGAAATTGGGATTAAACATTGACAAAATGCTTTCTAATCGACAGCAATCGAAAAACCGTGTCGTGTAGTTGAATCGTGCCTTTTTTATTCTCTCTCTCTCTCTGTTCAGTCGAACAAAAATAAATGTATGAAGCCGTTGGGATGACCAACATAAGCAAAGGACAGGCAGAGAAGACAAGTTCGAAGGTTATTTTTTCAAATAAGCTACATGAACGACGAAAAAAGACGAACTCTCATCACCTGTGTCTTCACTGACTTAATCCTCTAAATAAACAGTTCATTGTAATGAGAATGTTCACCACTTTTTTTCGTCTCTCTGAACGTGAATAAAAGTCTGTAGTTTTTTTTGCTCATATGTCCATTGGCTACTGTATAAATTAAAGACTCTTTCAACAGATTGAGCACGTTCATTATGTATATTTAACAAAATATGTCTGATCGATAATAGACTGCGTTCTTTTTTTCTTCTTCATTTTCATGCAGACCTTCTCTGTTTTCGCTCGATCTTGTTCAGGCAGGTCGAAAGTCAATTACAATGAAAGACTATTTACACACAACGATTAAATTTCAAAGAAATTTTATTTAACACGAAAAGGAATTGATATGATATGTACATAGAATGACTAGAACAATCAAAAATGATTCCTAGCAGTTGTTGCTATTAGCTGCTGTTATCTGCACAGGTGATAAGACAATGTTTGTCTCTCTTCAAAACTCAAGTAAAACCTTCGATGTGTTGCTCCTACTTGTGAAAGAAATGGTATAGACGTGGAAATGAAGTGCACAACTACTATTGTATTATTTGTATGTTTTAGGCAAATATTACAACAGTTTTAGAGAAATTATGGAGAAAATTCTATCAGATTGCTGTTACACTTCCTAAAAATCCATCATCGTATCATATGACTATGGAATATCATCAGATCTTTTATATTCTTGATGAGTTGAAACTGGAAGAACAGCGAACAGCTGAAAATATTCGAAAAAGTCTGCTTTGCAGTCGACCCGTGATTATCAGTAGTGATGAACTTGAAGATTATATCAAACGTATCGAATTCGCCGACGAAATCATGTTAAATTTAGACTATTTAGTGAAGAAAACCTTCGATGGCTATATCATCTTTGTTGAGAAATATTGGGGAATGAATGAATCCATTGGTACCGGTGAACAGCAAAGAATCCTTTCTCAAAAATATGACATGACAATGTCCGAATGGCAGTTTTTATTGAGCAAAATTGAACGATTCCATGAAATAGTCAAAGATTCATAATGATTGATGTTAACTATTGTTTTCTTTCGAAATATATTTACGATGCAATGGTCGTCGTTTTTCCAGTCGATAGATTTGGAACAAACTATTGTCTGTCGAGTTACTATTTGTATCAGAACTAAATAGAAAGCAAACGAATATGTTTCAAATGCATCATATGGAAAACTTACTTCGATGTCAGATCATCAATCGATCGTGACAACTTTCGGTCTAATCGTTTCGGCGAAACAGCACGCACTTCATCTTGTTGACTGTAGTGAAGCACATCTGAAGCAATGATGTTAAATCTTCCTGTTGTACCCAAATGGATTGGACTAGTCTGTTCATCTATAGCACAGATTGCGAAAGTTGGTCAAATAGTAAAAGAATGTATTGGTCATTCACGCTCTTCTTGTTTTTCAGTTCACTGTACAATTACTAACCTGATGTTGTTGTTTCGACTGTAACTGATTGTGGAATGATGCTATCTTGAACACTGTTCCTTGATTTCTCCGTTGGATTTTCTTCTTCAGCTACTTGTATGGCAGTTCTTGTAGAACTAAAACGAGCGATATTTGAGTAAATCATTGTCCTAAATCCGAATCTCTCACTCGTTGTTTGTTAATAAATGTTTTGAATCTAAATTAGTATTGTCGTTCGGAGTAGTTGTCATGTTAAGTCGATTCATTTCTTCGAAAATCCGCTCCATAAGTTGAAAGCATGTTGGCCGTTCTTGTGGATCATGATTCCAAGCATCCTGAATCAATTGTTTATACGAATCAGGAATGTCTACTGGAATGGTTGGTCGTTCACCCATTTTGACTTGAATTAATATCACTGTTGCATCTTCGTACTCATTCCATGGTATTTTTCCTGTTGCTAACTCCCAAAAAACCACGCCCAAACTGTAGATATCACTTTGTTTCGTGTGTCGAGCATGTGGAAGCAATAATTCAGGTGCTTTCCAACAGAATGTGCCAACGATCTGAGGAGAAAGAAAGACTCCTGATTGTAGAAGCGTTTCGCGTCGAATCTCTGCTAAACCAAAATCGCAAACTTTAAGAAGATACTTCTGATTTGACGTTCCATTGTTTTTCAATAGAAAATTCGCTGATTTGATATCCCGATGGAGAATTGCTGGATTGAAATTATGTAAATAATTTATCGATTTGACCATTTGCCATGCTAAGGAGTATCGATCAGACCAGTCAAACGAAATCTGCTTATTGTTCCGATGCAAAATATCATAGAGCGACCCCAATGGCATGTACTCCACGACAATAGCATAAAAGCTTGGTTCGATACATGCTCCGAGAACATTAAGAATATTTTCATATCGTATTCGATACATTGTCGAGATTTCTCGCACAAAATCTTCTCGAGCGTTCGACAAATGACTAATGCGAATGATTTTCACTGCTACTTGGTCATGATGCGTCAACCATTTCGCTTGATAAACATCAGCGAATCCTCCATGACCAAGAGGTTGGTCCTCAATGCATAAGTCTTTATATGGAATATGTAGAAACTGTTGGTGTTCGTCGAGAAGGTTAGGATTCGAATGGAGTAAGAGATTTTGTGCCAGAGAAAATCGAAATGATTGAAGACGTTTGTCGAGCATTTTATCGATAAATCGGTACTGTTCACATTGTCGTTCTAACATTTTTTGTGCAATTTCATCGAGTTTTTTTGTTAGTTCTTTTAAATCTTCTTGTTGATCGATCCGATCCTGTTTTCGATCAAATATTTGCTGAATATTCAAACCAACGCACAGATCTTGTCCAAGTTGAGATAATCGATGGTTTAATTCATGAAATTTATCCTCACTTTTACCGTACTCGTACGCCTCTTCGTACCATCGATCCGACGACTTGAATTTTTCAATGTAATGATTACAATCGTCGACACACTGCAGAAATTTATCAAGAATCGCACGTGTTTCAGTGCGCATCACCGACGACGATGCATATTCTAAACGTTCGAGTGGCTCGATTAATTGATCGATACGTTCACAAAGTCGCTCACATTGCATTTTATTGATATACACTTGCGAGACATTTTCATGAATTTCGCTTCGTAAGAGAAATAATCGATCAAGAGGAGAGGGCATGTTCTCTAAACTCGAAACTTCGACCGAAAACACATATAAAGGTGAAATAGGAAAGGAAGGACAATCTTTTTTTTTTATAATCTTCCAAAACGAAAAATGAAACCAATGTTGACAAAAACACGTCGCTGTTGAAAGAAAGAACGCCATAAACGTTGCTCGATTGAAAATATACGAAGTACCTTAAGGCAATTTAGCGATGAAATTACTCCGTAAAACATTCTTTAGTTAACTATCATTATTGATTCAACGAAGATTTCCATACAACGAATATTCGTCATACAAATAGAACTATTGCTTCATCTCTAACACAGATGAATCGACTTCAACTAAACTGTACGCATGACTAATTCACACCAATAGACACAATGTTGGACATACACAATCATTTTACATATCACGAATTGTCTTATAGTCACAAGACACTGAACTCAATGGTTATTTTATTCGAAGATTGCAACACACCCTCAAGATTTCCAGCGTAATAATCGTCGCATCCAACGAAAAGACCACTCAGTAACAAGAAGTGTCATCAACATTAGGCAACTATTCTGGATGACAATTATATAGCAGCTAATGCCATACCAGCATTCAGTCAGTGCACTGTAAATTTTATCAAAAGTCGATGCAAAAATTTTTCTATGATAATTGCCAGTCAAGTAACTCTATTTATATAAAAAAAGATTATCAATAAACTATCAAGATAGTAAATCTCTCTGATTCGATCAATGATCATTGAACGTGTTATACACGCAGATGTTCACCACCTTTGATAATGCATTAGAAATGTTCTAATAGGTGAGTATTCAAACATCAATATCTTTGCTCATCTAACTTATTCTAATGCTTGTGTCTGTCTGAGTGAAAATAACAAGCCTTCTTCTGTCTGCCTTTTGTTGTTCAATTAAGACACGTCATTTCTATAGTCATCAGTCTTTATCCGTCACTCGTCTTAACTTTGACGCCTGTAAGTTGAGAGACGGAAATAAAAACAAACGATGTCGACAACATTCTTCGAGTATTTTCTTCCTGAGGCATACATTTGATTGTGTGTTAAATATTGTAAATACTTTCGGATCGTATAAAGTCACAAGAGACACATCATGAGCTGTAATGATGATCATGATGAGTCGAGCCGAAACGCATCAACGTTTTATTGTGAGATTTCACATGTTGATACGAAAAGAACACGACGAATGACTTCTTTCATCTTCACAAATGAACACGAAATTCGGTGACATGAATTATTTCTGAATATATATGCATGATTATTTATTCGTTTTGTTTCCGGTGAACACACGTGCCATTTGTTTGCTAACGAAGACTAACTTTATTATTATTAGACATCAAAGCAAAATATTTCCTACTTGACTTCGACGAATGCATTTGTTGTCATCGAAATGACAAAATAAACGTGAAGCATTAGAAAATTCTATCGCATTGAACGTATGATTTCTCTTCGGTACATTGATTCGACATGATATGTTCGAAGCGAAACTAAGATGTATATCGACACATCTGTTGTCCATCTGTCGCAATGTTTTCATTTTCGCTTGAATATTTCCGCTCATCACCTTTACCGACAAGTTCATTTCTCGTTTGTGCAAATATATGAAATTTTTATTTACAAAGATCACTGTTCGAACAACCGGGATGAAAAGAAATAAAGGAAAATGAATTTAAACAAGTGAAGCTTGCATGTCCGTTTGTTTTAGTTTTGCATTGATGTCGTGTTTCTCGATGATTTTCTCCTTGGATTCCTTGAAAATATTCGTCGAAGAATTTTCAATCGTCCAGATCTTGTCGAAGGTGATTTCTTTGATCTGTTGCAATTGTTTACGTTTCTGATTCGACGATTTGTAATACAAACATGAAATAATCATCAAGATTGATAGAAACAGGAGAATAAATATGAAGAGAATGAGTAATTCAATAGAGAATATCTTCCGTTCTTGTTTTTGAATAAGTCGGACATCGATTTCGCAGTATTGACCAGTAAATTCCTTGGGACAAAGGCATTTTCCATCTTGGCATCGGCCATCATTACGGCAAATGGGACATTTGATTTCGATTTCACATTGTTTACCTTCATAACCCGGTGGACAAACACATTTACTTGGTGAACTCAAACCACCATTGAAACAAATTCGTTCTTCACACAATGAACCTTGAAAACCTGTTGGACATTGACATTTTGAGTCAAGAATCTTGCCACCATTGTGACACGAAACTTTCGGCTTTGGAATGCTCATCAAGCGTTGTAAGGGCACTTGACATTTTTCTCCTGTCCATCCCTGATGACAAATACATTGATTCGGTTGATTGAGACAATGACCATGTTGACATCCGGCTCGACAAATAGCTGAAAAACACAAAAGAGATATGTCAGCTGCTGTTTTTCTCCTCAATTGAAAGGTGATCCTTACCTTTATTGCAATCAACTCCTGTCCATCCTTGTTGACATATGATTTCACCTGTTTGAGGATCACATCGTGAATGAGACGAGAGTGGAGAGCAGAATCGTGAACATTGGGAACCGTAGAAATTTGTTGCACATGATATGCGATAGCGAAAAGAGAATTCATGAGATGTTAATGAGGAATCGATGGTTTGAGCATGTTGCCACGACGAGTTTGGATAAATCGACGAGCGAATTGTTGTGGATAGGATCAATTCTCGCGCACTACCTGGATACGGTTGACCATCGTATGTTTTATCATTGAAAATGTCAATACGAAGAACAAAATCGCCCTAGATGAAAAAGAAAATGTCATAAAATTTTCATTTATATGGCATTTATTTACCATCCAGCTGAATTTAAACGGTAAAACAATTAAATTGGCTTGTTGTGGTAAACGAAGGAAATCGATATTATTTCCGCCGAGAATAGGTGTTTCATCGAAACTATATGTACATTCTTCATTATTTACAGTGACTGGACGATTGATATCGTCCAAATTGGGATTTTGATTACGTAGACAAAAGCGCATGAATGTTTTACAAGGTTGAATACATGTGAAGAATCGATCGGGGCCGTTACAACATGTACCATTAACATTTAAACCTTTGCGATTGACCAATCGTTCTAATTCGATTTCGAATTTACCAGCAGTAGAGATTAACTACAAGAAACAAAATTTGTTTTAGTTATTCGTTAAAACTTTCATAGAGAAAACACTTTACTTGAATTTGAAGGAAAATAACGAGGAAAACATAGAAAGTGTTCATCATGTTCATCACGAATGAAGAGAATAAACAATTCGCTTTTCTCTTTCCTTATATATACCTTTGCTTATTGAATTTTTCACTATCATCATGCGATGGACCAATAGGAAGAGACATAACACCTGTCTGCCCCTCTCTCTCTCTCTTCTCTTTTTCTCTTTCTCTTCCAACTCAATGTCGTCTGACTGGCGGCTAGGTGTCAATTACGGACAACCACAGACCATAGAATATCATCAACTTAGACACGCGATTCAGATAAAGATTTCGATTGTATAACCATTTCGAAAATCTTTGATCGTTCCAGCAAGATTTCGTTTGTCCTGGCAGTCAATGCTGAAAAACGTCTTCTTTGATAATAATGACAGATAATTGATCATTAATTTTCAGCTGTTGAGAACACACAACAACCAATAATAACAACATTCCATGTCGCCTTTCTCTCATCTTTATTATTAATCATCAGCGTTTCGATTGATCACAAATACTATCAGCTTCTCCTTTTCTTCTTAACTCAAATGACAACGTGTCAAGTTAGATCCAAATGAGGTTATTTCGCCAAGAATGCTTTCCATTGAACTCAGATATGATAAAAATGTCTCGTTGTTCGTCTACTCTTAGATGCGTTCATCGTTATTTAGTCGAATGATGACGACATCATAGGGAGTAGCATATCAATATGATATCAGTAGGAGAGCAGAAGACAAATATGTCGACGTTCCAATTAGTGATATTGAACAAGATTGTCAGTGTAGATAGTCAGACATTCGTCACAGGATGATTTCTCGTTTTGACAAGATAGTGTCAAAGAAAATGATTTGTTCGTTTAGCAAGACTAACACTTCGCAAATCGATAATCGATGCTTGGCTGCCATTTGGAATGTTTGTCTTTTCAATCAAAATCGAATTCAATCAAGCATTCATTCTTCTCTTAGACAATCGATGACGAGACATTCGAACATGATGAAATTGCAAGCTGTTCGTCGAACAAAACAAAAGTCTTTTTTTCCAATTAAAATTTGTCTTGTTTTCGTTTTTCGTCTACACAAACTATCAACATATCACATCTCCAACCGCCCTCAAGGGATTGTCTATCTCAGTTGAATCTATGAACATTGTTGCATAGCAAGATGAACATTTATCTTGCAGATATGACATACTTGAAAAAAGAAAGTATTGACATTCTTCGTTTGTTGCTCATTGAATAACTTTGAACTATTGTATTCGCAGAATTGATCGTTAATGTTCACGATGCTTGATGAAGCATTCTCAATCAATGATTATTTGCGTTTCTTTTAACAATGAAGGATGAAGCTGAAAGAATGTGTGCGGAAGTCAAACATACATTTGAATAACCTAATCTCAACGAAGAATTCATGTAAAGTTCGACAAAGAAAACATAAAATGTGAATATCACGTTTTATAAAGATTATTCGGTATTATCCATTTCAATTAAAAAGTTCGGTACCTAGAAGGAAGATTGCAGATGAATAGAAATGGAAGGAAGACGAATGATTTACTATTAATCCAGCTGATTGCATTAGATTTCGGCAAGTTTTTAGTTGATCTTCGTAAGTGGAACAGAGAACAAGTAAATCGTTCTGTTCTTTGATGTTTTGTTGATAGTTTGAATTCAACTTTTGATATTCGTTATTCAAACTTGTCTTTTCATCGATGATCTCTTGTAACTGACCTTGAAGACTCTAGAAAAGACAATCAGAGCTGACAATCAATCGAGCAAAGATCACACTGGTACTTCAAGAATGCCAACTTTTCGTTTT